TGAAAACTCTTAACTCATGTATCACAGATACTGCTTTGGATTCAAGGAAAAATAGAAGGGAACACAGCACAGAGACAGAAGGCATTCTGATTGACTGAGCAGTGTTCTCCTCAACTCCAATATAGTTCTTCAGCTGTTTCTCTATCTGAACAATATTGGCTTTATTATGCTACATAATTTTTCCCTCCCTTCCCTCCCTCTCCCTGCCATGTCCCCTCCCCTTTGGTCCTCCCTAATCACTCTTCTGTATCTCTCCTCATGCGTTTTTTTTTCTTATTTTATATTCTACTACTTTTTCCCCTTTTTAGTTTCACCTTTTTCCAGATCCAACTTCCTCCTCTAAGCGGTATCTAAGCAGGGTTCTCTGTCTAAGTATAGTATACTGGATTTAATGGCAATAGCTTGACAATGTGCCAGCATATATGAATAGGAAAGCCAAAAAGATATGATACAAGAGGAGAGTGAATAAAACCTTTATTGCATCTTCTAAGTCAGCCTTTTAAAAGTGGCAGCTAAGCGACTGGATAGATATGGCACATAACACAGACCAAATGGCTCAGCTAACAAAAGCAGAAGGGGAAAGGGCTATGGGCACACAGTAGCCTCCGAGGCTGCAACATGCCAGTGGTGGAGGGATGGGTGTTGTTTTCCCAGAACTGATGGGCAGCAAGAACAGTGCTGCCTGCAAAGCCTCTGTGCTCACAGCACTGGAGAGGAGTGCAGACTTGCCTCTGCTGACATGTGTGCTAGGTTGGTCTTTCTGATGCCTGTTACCATATTTAGATGTTTTTTCGAAAGCAAAATAACATCTGGAGAGCACTGGTTTTGGCTTCTGTGTACGTGGTGCATGCATTCCCATGGAGACCCTGTTCTCATCTCACGATCATGTATGTATATATAGATTAGTCTTATTCATTGCAGTCCCCTATACAGGGATTTGAGAATGGAAGCTGCTGTTAATCCAGAGAGTTTGGCCTGAGCCATCTTTAACCACTTTTTCGGATAATGTTGTTTTGGGTTTTTTTAGTTGATAGATTGCAAATACAATTGTTCCAAGCAGAATGAACTACACTTTATTTAATACTCATACTTCAGTTCCATTTATGTATTACTAATGCAGCATAATCAAAGCAAAGGAGATGAGAAGGATGTAGAAAAGTAATACATGCAGACCTAAAAGGAACGAAAGGAAACCTGATTTGTTTTGGTTTTGGTGGGGCCTGGGGTCTGGTTTGGTTTATTTGTTGTTTTTTCATTTGGGATTTGTTTTTTGGGTGGTTGTTTTTGTGGGTTTGGTATGGGGGTTTTTGTTGTGTTTTTCTTTTTTTGAGGATTTACAATGACGTGAAGTAATTTAGTATTTAAGAACAATAAAGAAAAATGTCTATATGTCACCTTTTGTGTAGCACAACTTTTGCCTTCCTCTCCACACATACTCCCTTCCTTCTCAGTGCTTTCGTGTTCCACAATTTCAGCATTTATGTCATACCACTTAACAGCAGCAGACTTACTGGTAGAATGAGACTGTGTGCTGAGGAGTTTAAAATGGATACAAAGATCAGATTTTTGGTGACAGATTCTTAAATTTATCAGTTGCAAATGAGTTCAGTATCATAACTTAAGCTATAGCTCTCTGTAATTAAGTTGTATAGTTTTCTGGGTTTGTTTTTTTTATATCTTCTGGAGAATTTTGACGTGTGACTACAGGTTGAATTTACTTTCTGCTGAATAGTATTAATAAAAGAATAGCATGGTACAAAAAAGTGTTGAAACATACATAAGGGTAATAATAATTCTCTATAATCGTAGTTTTCTTTTACAGTACCAGTACATATAGTTTTAATGTGGTGATATTTATGCATACTCTTTAGTAACTAGTAATAAGGTTTGGTTACAGAACGGTGTGTGGAAAAATGTTTGAGTCTGCAGCAGAAATCTCAATCATGTTTTCAGCTTTGCAAGTCTTGTCTTCATGGATAATTTTTCGCATTGTATACAATAAAGTTATTAAAAAGCATATGCAATTTTAGTGATTCTCAACTGTACTACTGCTGTTTTTTTCAGCACTTGGAACAGCTGCGTGCAAACCGAAATAATCTAAATCCAGCACAGAAACTTATGCTGGAACAGCTGGAGAGTCAGTTTGTCTTGATGCAGCAACACCAGCAGGTGAGAACAAAAATATTTTTCTCTTCTACAAAACTTCAGTCAGTGACGGTGTCTCTTGTGTTTCTTGAATTCTGAAGAATTTCTATTGTACAGAGTTCTCATGCCATTTACTACTACTCATTACATTAAGTCGTCTTTTTTTGTATAAAGTATAATTGTGGTTTACTGGTTGAAATGTGATGGACTTAGCTGCGTTTTATTATAGGGCTACCAGATAATGTAAAAGTTTTCAAGCCACACTTTCAAACTAATGTGAGTGGACACATCTAAAAGCAGTCTTGCTTGAAAAACACTTAGTTGTAGTAAGCTGTATTGCAGCATATTTCTCCTTCTCTCATTGTTCACTTCTCTCTCTCTTAGTGTCCATCTTTAGCAGTAAAACGCTAACACTCAAACTGAAGAGCCTAGAAGAAAAGTGTGCCGATAACTTTACCTTAAAATTCGCTCAGCACGTTTGTGAGCATGACAGTCGTCTTATTTCTCAAAAGCAACTGTGAAGATCTTAAAATCAGTATAAAATTGGAATTGTCCAGTGCAATAAAGTACGCAAACCTTGTACGATCTTTACGTTTTAAATTCCGCAGCTAATGTTCTTGTGCTTTGTTCGTGTTCCGTTAGATGAGACAAACAGGAGTTGCACAGGTACGATCTACTGGAATTCCTAATGGGCCAACAGCTGATTCATCACTGCCTACAAACTCTGTCTCTGGTCAGCAGCCGCAGGTTGCTCTAACCAGAGTGCCTAATGTCGCTCAGCGCGGAATCCGTCCCGCCTGCCCCGGGCAGCCTCTGGCTAATGGACCCTTTCCAGCAGGCCCCATTCCCTGCAGCACAGCAAGAACGCTGGGTAGTACAGACACTATTTTGATAGGCAATAATCACATAACAGAAAGTGGAAGTAATGGAAACGTGCCTTACCTGCAGCGAAACGCACTCTCTCTACCTCATAACCGCACAAACCTGACCAGCAGCGCAGAGGAGCCGTGGAAAAACCAACTATCTAACTCCACTCAGGTATACAATTTCAGTTCACTCGTAGAGTATGCTAAGGAGGCTTGATAAGCACGTCATCCTTTGAAGTCTCTCATGTGTAAGCACATGCTTTCTGTTTCCTGAAGTTGATGACCTAGGAACAAATAAAACATACAGTAGGTTAAACCTGCCCATTACATTTTGATATTAAAAGTCTGTGTATTACATTGACTACTTTCAGGATAAAGAACATGATAATAAATCAAAGAGGGTGGTTACATACTGCTCAGCTGCCTACATTTGCAGAAAAGTTTCTTTAAAAAGGAACACTTGTACATCTTTTTGTTGCTGCTTTAATGTGAAACTGCTACTCTTTCATGTAGTAAGAATGCACGTTTCATGGGAAGCTGAATGTTGTTGTTATTTTGGACCTTACATCGTTGTCATGATGAAATCATTACCCATATTACCCTATGATCTTTCAAAATTAATACCTAGCAATCAATCCCACAGAGTTACTTGCAGAAAAATAACTATAATTCTAGTAAAAATCCATGGGTGTTAAAGTGTGTAAGTAAGGATGTTTTGTGTGTGTGTGTGTGTGTTACAACTTGAAGACAGAGCTTATTCTTTTTAATTTCAGCCTAAATATCTTTCTTCCAAGACATACCTTGTGGATGTAATGAGATGTTCTATAGGAAGATATCCTAATGGTTTAATTCACTTTTACCAAATAGGTTATACGGCTTGATACAATATTGTTTTCTTCCTCAAAACTGCATAAATTTCTTGTTTAATTAATATTACAGGTTACTTTAATGCTGAAGAATTGAGAGTGGGCTGTGGTACAGACATACATACATGCTTAACTGCACATACATTGCAACAAAGGCTGAGATAATACTGGAACATCTTGTGTAAAATGTAGTTATTCAAAACTAAAACAGTGACGTAACATGATTTTTTTAGAAGTTTCCTCTAGATCAGTAGTACTATCTACATGGTTTATAAGTGTGGTAGGGGGACATGGAGCCCATTAGCCTCACTACCTCTTGCTTGAATTAGAATTCACTTTTCTATTTTCTATATTGTATAAAAGAAGTTCTGCACTTGCTAGAGCGGGTATCTGCTTCATGTTAGATGTCTGTGGTGCTAGTGTCCAAAAGTACACAAGTAATAAATTGCAATAAGAGTTGACCGCTTTTTGTAGAGATGATGTTTTTGAAAAGGCTGGATAGCTGTTCCAAGGAAAGCTTGTGGTGCCATTTCCTATATCCATTGCATCTGTGTTCTGTGTGAAGTGTATTCAGAGAACAGGGTCTCATCAGAGTTTCTGAGCCTGTAACATTCTCCACAAGTACCAAATGAACTCTTGATTTAAAAAACTATTTATCAGTAATTGAGCTACATAGAGGAGTTAAGAGATTATGTATACAGGTGTGACATGCATAATGCAGTTTGGAATTAACAAAAAAAACTTGTCCTATAGTAGGTGTAGCAACACTTCTAAAAGACAAGTGAAAACTGCACTAGGAGGAAACTTCACCACAGTCGGGAGCCTCCAAAGTAGGAAGGTTACCCTTTCCAAAATAAAACCTCATTTACGAGAAAATATATAAGTGGATTCTTTCACCATTCTTGACATGGGCTGATAGCAAAGAAAACATTTAAACATCCAACAATTTAATTGTAGGTTTGGCAATTTATAATGAAATATTTAACACAGTAGTGTGTTACCCTGAAATCAGCTACAGTGTGTCATCTTTCCAGTCATCGATATATGTACTGTTTATTAGGAAATTGAGTTTTTCCATACTACAATTGATTCGTGCTATTAATGTCAAGACTTAGGTTTCCAT